AAGGCTGCCCACACTACAAATACCACAGGCCTGCCTGTGATTCCTGTCTAGATATAGTTCACATCAAAACAAAGCAGACTCCTGAGAGGCCAGAAAGGAAATGGCTGGACTCCTCTGGAGCCTGTTGAGTTTTACTCTTCACTAAAGAGCGGACCTGGGAGTTCACAAATTGTGCTGGAAGGAGCCCTAGGTTGGGGTCTGGCCCAGATCTGGTTCAAACTTTCTGTGTGGTCTTAAGCTAGCCCCTTCCCTCTCAGGTCTTTAGATTCCCAAACATAAAAGGAGAGGTTGGACCAGAGCTTTTCTATCTCCAATGCTCCATGTCCCAGACCCTCCTATCTCTGACTTCAAAGTAGCCTCAATCGCATGTGCTAATGCCTGGCAGAGATAGGGAAAGGGTACAGATTCCCAGCCAGGACACTGACTTTAGCTCCTCTTGGGTCGTTTGCAGGTGATTTGTCTACAGCAACCAAGAGCAAAACAAGTGAAGACATCAGCCAGGCTTCCAAGTACAGCCCAGCCTACTCGCCAGACCCCTACTATGCTGCAGAGTCTGAGTACTGGACCTACCATGGGTCCCCCAAAGGTAGCACCCTCATGGGACCCTGAAGCCAGAGCCCATCGCCTGTGCTAGGGACTTAGGAGGTCAGAACAATCACCCACTTCTTCACACCACCATCCCGAATAAGAATGAAGGTCCAGCCACAGGCCCTAGGGATACACTGGGGAGCAAAACAGACCAGGTTCCTGCCCTTGTGGAGGAGACATAGATCCCAAACATGAGGTAGGAGAGCTGATGGTAGGGGCGAGCTGTGCAGCCAGATGCAGAGGTTTCCACAGGAAGGGTGACCAGGGGGCAGGTCAGCAGGGAGTGTAGATTGTCTGACATCTGCCTACACCTGAGAGGGGAGGACCAGTTCTACTGGAGGAAAGGAAAGGCTACCCTCTTAACCTTAATCTTGGAAAGGGACCAGAACAAGTGGGGAATGAGGGAAGATGTTCCACAGGTCTTGTGAGTTGAGAAAAGGATGTGGGTTATCATCCTAGTTAGAAGCTAGTTAAAGCTATTCAAAACAATGACATGATCACAGTCATGCTTTTGAGAGATCACTTTGGCTGTAGGGTGAAAAATGGTGGGGAATGGAAAAAGAAAAGATATAGAAAGATAAAAGGCTCTCATGGGCACCCTGGTCCTTGAGTCACCTCCTCACCCAATCAGAGAGCCCAAGTTATTCCTTTCAAGTACGGGGAGAAATTGTCTTCAAGTACTGATCCATGTCGCTTAGATTCGATACCTGGCTTTACTAATTAAATGCCCATTCTGTGCAAGGCTTCATGGATGCTCAGAAGTGAGTCTTTCATTACCCTCAGAGAATTGTCCATTTAGAAAAGGAGGCAAGACACAGAAATAGTATAATCCAAGGTGGACAGGAACAAGCACCCATGAGAGATTAGGTGTTCAGAGGATGCAATGACAAGAGAGACCACACCCAGGAGGTATCTTAGATGAGCCTATTTCATCCCAGGAAGGGAGGGAAAGAGGGAGGGAGGAAGGGCCCAATGGCTTAAGCCAGGACAGGCTGAGTGGGGAACACAGGATGGAGCTGATCCCATCTGTATCTTGACAGTGCCCCGAGCCAGGAGGTTCTCATCTGGAGGAGAGGAAGATGATTTTGACCGCAGCATGCACAAGGTGAGCAGGCTGCAACACTGAAATAAGAAGCTTAGAGGTATATTACTGAGGATTTTTTTTTCATTTGCAAGAATGGAAATAATATTCAAACTCACAATAGAAAAAAGAAATGCCCTAATTTTGCATAGCTGAAAAATCAAATGGTAGGATTAGCTTCAGATATGACCAGATCCAGCTGTTCAAAATAAAATGTCATAGGGAAGCTGTCTCTCTCTTTGCCTGGGGGGCTCCCTCTATATTTGTTTCATGTTCAAACTGGTCCTTTTCCTATAGTGGCAAATGGGTACCAACAGCTCTCCCAGCTGGCTGGTGGGAACGTAAGATGGTCTAGCCACTGTGGAAAAGTTTGATGGTTCCCCAAAAAGCTAAACATAGAATTATCACAGGGTCCAGCAATTATACTTCTGGTAAATACCCATAAGAATTGAAAATAAGGACTAAAACAAATGTATGTACGTATGTGTTCATGCCAATTCTATTCAAAATAGCTGAAAGATGGAAACAACCCCAAGGTCTAACTCACAAATGGATAAACAAAATGTGGCATGCCGCAGTCTGGTGCAGCAAAATAACAGGGGCGGGGGACGACGACAACTTGTGTAGATTGATACAGCAGGAGTGGGAGCCCTTTATTGTAGGACAGGAGCAGTATATATACATTCCACACAGCTTATCTTAATTAACATAAACTCGATACATCAGTCAACCAATAAGGAATCTCCACACTTAATGGCTCGCTGGAGTTACTTCACAAACCACTCCCTCTGGCAAAATGCCAGGCGCCATACTGACTTGTTTACAGACTCCAATATTTGCTAGGCGCCATCCTGACTTGTTTACAGACCCTAACAGTGGCAGATCCATACACATGGAATATTACTCAGCTATTAGAAAGAATGAAGTATTGACACATGCAACAATGTAGGTGAACCTCTAGAAAGGTAACCTAGAGATTGAAGTCTACAGGAAGATCTGCATAGGTTATATGAAAATATCACACCATTTTACATGAGACTTGAACATCTGAGGATTTTGGTATGAAGTAGGAATAGACCTGGAATCAATCCCCTGTGGATACTGAGGGATGATTTTACTTCAGAATGGTTAAATTTAAGTTATATGATTTCTACCTCAATTTAAAAAAAAAAAGATGGCAATCTCCCCATCTTTGAACCGACTGCTGGGACAAGGGCAATGTGATCCTGTCCTGGCCAAACCTGCTTTTTTATGCAACCTCCAGAGCCTCACCCAGGCCTCAGGACTATTTGTAGAAGAGAGATGAAGTCCAAAGGAAATGTGGGTACTGTAAGGAGGGAGGAATGCTGGGAAGGCAAAAATGACAGAGGTTCCCCCAAAAAGGTCCCAGCGAGTCAGCCCTTCCCAGGGTCATCTGCTTCCTTCTCATTTCATCCTGCTTCTCCCTACCCCAGCTCCAGAGTGGAATTGGCCGTCTGATTCTTAAGGAGGAGATGAAGGCCCGGTCCAGCTCCTACGCGGATCCCTGGACCCCTCCCCGGAGCTCCACCAGCAGCCGGGAGGCCCTGCACACAGCTGGCTACGAGATGTCTCTCAATGGCTGTAAGCACTCCTGGGGAGCCAATGCCTGCCGGCTGTTCACTTTGAGCCAAGCACCCTGTGAGGCACAGTCCAAGTGCCCCCTTCTTCCTCCCAGACCACTGAACAGTAGGCGCCCCCCACATGCTACAGGCAGGGGACCCAGGCACAGAAACCTTCAGCAACCTGTGCAAGATCAATGAGTTTGTAAGTGATGGAGCTTTCTCCATGAGGTCCCATTCCTGAAAGCTTTGTAGGAACACAACCAGCCCCAAACTCAATCCCCTGGGCTAACAAAGGGATAAGGAGAGGTTGCCTGTGAAAGTGAACCCCAGACCCCCCACACACACTTTCCTCCATCTCAGGTGTCCCCTCTGAGAGCCTCCTCAGTCTGGAACACAGACTTAATAAGGGACTGGATGGGAAACCAATGAGTCCCTCCTCTGCCCTGAGCAGTCATCCCACTTCTTTGGACCATCTGAAGCTGTGACATTCTGTTGGGTTCAATGTAAAGAAAAAATTCCAACACTGTAGCCTGAGGGGCTCAAAGCTTGTTTGCTGAGGTGCTGGGCTTCCCATCGCTTAGAGATATACAAACAGAGGCTTCACTCAAGCACTTGACTTTGAGATTCTGTCACTGCAAGCTCCTCCCTGTTCCTGGACAGGCCCACGTGCTCTGTCTGCCTCCTCCTTTTCTTACCCCTGTGGGACTCAGTCCTACCCGGAAATGCCATCTCACATCAATACATGATGGACAATAAGAGGTATTGTTTATTATACACAGACACATTATCATTCCTGATCCTCGAGAATCCCTGCAACCTCAAGATTGTTATCACGCATTTTATAGATGAGATAACTGAGGTGAAGTCACTTGCCAAAGTCAAAAAGGCAATAAGTGACTGAGCAAAGATCAGACCTAAGTTGGAGGGACCCTAAGGCCATGAGCTTTTCCCTCTTTGCCTTACTACACCTTGAACTTGGTGAGATTAAAGATGGCGGTGGTGGTGATGGTAAAGCCAGTTGTAGGGCCTGTTAGTATGCCCCAGGCACTGTGCTGAGTTCCCTACTGTGTTATGTCATATATTCTTCACAGAAGCCCTATAGAGGAGACACTGTCACTCCCACTTTACAGTTGAGAAAACCAAAGCATTATTAAGTAACTTGTGTGAAATTAGGTGTTTATTAATGACAGGATGAATAGATGAGCCCATTTTCACAGTCTGACCACTAATTTCAATCCCCAGCTCTAAGCCCTATGCAGTGTACCCAGGCTGCTCAAAATTCACACTTAGTGAATAGAGTGTGTGCCTAGCATGTG